CCCCATAGTCCATCCAACTATGTAATTGTCTTCTTTCTGAATGAACTAAACTGAACAAGATCTTTCATGAACTCATCACTAGTTATTTCAATTACAATTCTTGCAAAATCTTCAGAGACCTGGAATTTGAAACCACTGGAAAGAAAGACAGTTCCTTAATGTATCTACAGCTCAAATTTAAAGTTTTATAGTTACAGGAAAAACTGACTCCCAGGGTACTATTCTTCCCAGAACTCTGAAGAAGTAACTAAATGCCACAACCTGGACTAGAGTTTTTATAGAAGTTTCCCTCTCTTGTGTGCTTTCACAGGTCTGTATGTGCAGGTTTAGCAGCATGACCTTATATCCTGGATTTATCTTTGCACTTGACATATCTGGGGGAGACCAGCATATAATTATATATATATATTCATGTTCATCCCCTCAAATAGAGTCCATGGGATTTCATTGTGTCTGTTAATACTGCAGATTGTTTTATTTATGTACAGTAAATTTAAAATTCCTTAAGGAAAGAAGATGGGATTTCAGCATTTTATTACCACATTCCTTTGTAAATACAGGGTAATATTCTAGGCTTCATCACTCATTTCATTTTTAAAATCATCATTTCTGAGTAGTAGGAAATTGGAGCAAGAATATGACAGTGATTTCATCCTATATTAAAATCAATTCTTTGCTCCCAGCCTTCTACCATTTCCTTTAGTTTGTCATGACTCCCTCTAATCTCAGTAATTGCATTATCAATTTACTAAAATAGGCAGATGGTCTGTTCATAACCTCAGTTCTTGCATATTGTTGATGTCACACCCAATAGCAGAACTAGGAATGATGGGGATAATTTTTGGGCCCCCGGTAAAACAACACAAAATGCACAAACATGCACAGTAATACACTATATATATATATAAGTATAAATACACACATACATAAGTAAAATAATATTTTATTTTTTCACTCACCATTAGTACTGAAACAAGTTTCTTAGCTGGACATTATCAATAGACAATATTGTTAATCCACAAGACTTTTGTTGTCCTAATGTGCTATTCAGATAATCATTTTGAGTTTCGAGAAGGAATGTTCAGCACTTGATATTATTTTAGGGATGGTTAAAAGCAACACAACTGTCATACATACTTCAGAAAAACTTGATGACAAAGCACTGTTATCAGCAATCAATAATTTAGCCAAATGTTCCACTGTAAGTAACTTTAAACTTTCTGATCTTAGACATGGTCAAAATGCAATACATTGTCCAAGCAAGGTGGCAGAAAATCCCTTGTTATATTGTTTCACTAACTTTTCAGCTTCTTTCTTCATCATAAATAGTTCTTCATCAATTTTTGACACAAGACTCTCAGGTAGAATCATGTTAAAATTAAACGATTGAATCCAAAGCATAAAAACTATCTGAAAGCCATGCTAAAACTACATCCAAACAACCATAGAACACATAAAATTTGAAATATGTCTCAACATGAAAGAATGTGTCTCATGATTTGTTTCTTGATGAGAAACATATTGGATGTACTGTCTTCAGGGTAATACTGGCAAGCTCTGAGATGGAAACTAATTCAGATAACAAGGCCCATTGCTTTATGTTATGTCCAAAGAAAGTGTTGACTCTTTCAACCACTTCATAAAAAGGTTTTAATTCAGGCTGTTGTGCGTGGAGTTAACTAGCACCTAATCAATTAGTATCGTTCAATAGGCAGCTTCCTCCTACAGTCCGGCAGCAAATGAGGAGGTGGTCTTTGGCCCCGAGATAGTTAAGAGATGGACCAGGGCGTATCTATCACCACCCAGTCCTCCTGATAATTAGTGATGATTTGATTAATTAGGACTCACATCAAGACATAACTGACATGAATCAACTGTTTATTAATTAATAAACAATAGGTAAGTAACAGTAACAAATAAGTACTCCACTTCAATCTCTGCACACTCTCTAATACCAATGTCCTTAAGGGACTAATTATTTCCCTAGATCCTATAACTATCCTAAATATAAATAAATACACTATTACTAATAAATCAGCCAGGACAGGTGGGCTGAACATTTTTAGGGGAAGAACTGGGAGTAATTTATTGTGCTCTGGCCACTGCCATTGGTCCTCAACTGGCTGCCTGCCTTGGAGCCACTTTGGCAGTGACTTACCTTCCACTGGTAGAGAGAGAGAGGGTGGGACTGGGTAATACTTATGCAAGGAAAGGCAAAAGGGCTCCCAGAGGCATGCATCTGGAGGGTGAAAGGTTCCAAGAAGCCAACCCTATTTGCCTCCACTATGGAGTCTTGCTGGCAGGGCAGCAAATGCTGGAGACCCACGAGTCACTGGAGTGTCTCAGGCAGCACACCTCCACAGGGCACTGCACACTCCAATGTGCTATTGCTCTCTCTCTCTCTACCAATATCTGGGCCCAAGCCCTCACACACCTTCCCACTAGCTCTCTCTCTCTCTCTCTCTCTCTCAACCCTTCAACCAGCCACTCTCAATCCACTCACATGCCCAATGCACACCAGACACATACTGAACTCCATCCACGCAACCTCCTTTGTACTAGGTGTGCACGCAGCTCTCACCCATACTCTGCACATGTCTCAAAATCTTCACCCAACACCTTCATCAGATGCTTTACATCATCCTTAACAGGGTAAGGTCATCTGGGGTTTGCATGGTGACCTACTTAACACTGGACCAGATGACATGGCCTCACTGTCACAGACACAGACCCGAATTTTCACTGCAACAAGGTATTCTGTGAATGCAATAATTAAATGTGAAGTTCAACCTGTGAGTGGCACAGAATATGTATTCCGCATTTGGTTCTATCATAGATATTCTTGCCTGCATTCTGAAATAAACTCTGTTCATATTTACAGTCCCATCATACCTTTGACCATTTTGATCAACACTTTACCTTCAATGCAATTCACAATTTTCTGTTCAAATCTAGCACCAGATATTAACCCATAATTACACCAGCACCAGATACTAATCCATAATTACACTTTCTCAATGGCATTTAGTTTGTAGCATATATCATAAAAAAACCCTCATACAATAGCAAACATGATTAAATTTGTCAGCCTCCTGTTGTGTAGCTACTGTATGAACTCCCTTACCACCACTGCTGACCTATATGGAGAGCTGGGCTATAAAAATGTCAAATTTACAACAGCTGCATGAGGGCTAATCCAGCAACCGTTTTCTGCACAGCAGTGGGAGGGGAGTGAGAAGTGCAATCCTGCCTCCAATCAGCCAGGCCAGACCCAACAATCCCTGGTGAGTT